CACAGCAACCTCCAACTCCTGGGCTCAAGCGAGTCTCCTGTCTCAGCCTCCCAAGTAGCTGGGACCACAGGCGCCCGCCACAACGCCTGGCGATTTTTTGGTTGCAGCCATCATTGTTGTTTAGTGGGCCCGGGCTAGGGATTCGAACCCGCCACCTTAGGTGTATGTGGCTGGCGCCTTAGCCGCTTGAGCCACAGGCGCTGAGCCTGATGATGAACATTTTAAATCTCCTTTTTTTTTTTTTTTAAGAGATAGAGTCTCATTTTATCACCCTTGATAGACAGCTGTGGTGTCACAACTCACAGCAACCTCCAGCTCTTGGGCTTAGGCGATTCTCTTGCCTCAGCCTCCCGAGTAGTTGGGACTATAGGCACCCACCACAATGCCCAGCTATCTCCAATTCTTTTAAAAGTGACTTATATAAAATAACACTTGGCCTTCAATTAATCCTGTCACCAGCTATAACCTATAAACAAGTGCCAATAAAATCTGAAAAAGGCTAAAGAAATATCTCAGCAGTGCCTGAGAGAGAACATGGGCTCTTGAATCCTGTTTTGCGCATTCACTGACTCTGGGTAAAACTCTTAATCCCCCTATGCTTCCATTTACTCATCTGTAAAACAGAAATAATAGTTCCTTCCTCAAAAATTACTGTGAAAATTGAGTAATCAACCCAAGAAAGTGGATTACCAAAAAATAAATAAATAAAATTGACTCGGCTCGGCGCCTATAGCTCAACCAGCTAAGGCGCCAGCCACGTACACCTAAGGTGGCGGGTTCGAATCCCCAGCCCGGACCCGTCAAAACAATGCCTCGGCCTCCCAGAATGCTAGGATTACAGCTGTGAGCCATCATGTCCAGCCCTTATTATTTTTTGAAAGAAAAAAATTTAATTTATGTGTGGTAAAAGACACATAACAAAATTTCCCATTTTAACCATTTTTTTTTTTTTTTTTTTTTAGAGACAGGCTCTCACTCTATCATCCTGGGTGGAGTGCTGTAGAATCAAAAACTCCTGGGCTTAAGCAATCCTCTTGCCATAGCCTCCTGAGTACCTGAGACTATAGGCACCTGCCAGCACGCCCAGCTAGTTTTTCTACTTTTTAGTAGGGATTTCACTCTTGCTCAGGTTAGTCTTGAACTCCTAAGCACAGACAATCCACCCACTTCGGCGTCCCAGAGTGCTAGGATTACAGGCATTGAGCGCCACCATACCCAGCCATTTTCACCATCATCCACCCTCAGAACTTTTCCATCTTCCTAAACTAAAACTCTGTGCCCATTAAACAGTAACTTCCTATCTCCTTCCTCCCAGCCCCAGGGAACTTCTAGTCTACTTTCTGTATGAATTTTGTCTTTTTTTTGAGACAGAGTCTCACTTTGTCACCCTCAGTAGATTGCTATGGCATCACATATCAAAGCAACCTCAAACTCTTGGGCTCAAGCGATTAACTTGCCTCAGCCTCCCAAGTAGCTAGGTCTACAGGCACCCACCACAGGCTATTTTTTACAGATGAGGTCTCGCTCTGGCTGCGACTGGTCTTGAACAAGGCAACTGAGCTCAGGTTATCCATCCACCTCAGCCTCCCAAAGTGCTAGGATTATAGGTGTGAGCCACTCTGCCTGGCCTGTATGAATTTTGTCTGTTCTTGGTACCTCCTATAAGTGGAATCACATATTTATCCTTTTGTGTCTAGCTTTTTCACTTAGTACAATGTCTTCAGGGTTCATCCATGTTGTAAGCATATATCCGAATTTTATTCCTTTTTAAAATGGCTGAATAATTACTGACATTGTTTTTTTTTTTTTTTTTAAGTTTTTGGCCAGGGCCAGGTTCAAACCCGCAACCTCTGGTATATGAGGCCGGCACCCTACTCATAGAGCCACAGGTGCCACCCTATTTTTGTTATTCTTTAGATCAGTGATTCTCAACCTTCCTAATGCCATGACCCTTTAATACAGTTCCTGTGGGTCGCGACCCATAGGTTGAGAACCACTGCTTTAGATCTATCTTGCAGGCTACACAAACTAAAGCAGATTTGGCAGATTTAGATACATCCCTGTCACCAACAATAAACCAAGGCCCTAGTCAAGCCAGCAGTTTAACCTAACTTAATAAGGAAGACATCCTTATAGCATTACTATAAAAACAAAGAAATCAGATTCTAACATTACCAAATACAAATCTTTAGAAAAGGCTGGATTTAAATTTCTATCTTGCCATTTTCTCACTAAATTTCAAATGACCAAAAGTATATAGAGTAGAACCTCCATAGCTGACAACCTCCTTAAGCTGACTTAACTTTCAAAGACCAGACATGTACCACATGTACATATCAGTACCGTAGGCCTAATTCCTTATGTTGACCACCTCTATATGTTGACAAGTTTGTTACAGTCCCTTGGGTTGTCAACTTACAGAAGTTATACTATAACTTATCCCTTCTGCTCAAAACAGCTCTATGGTCCCCTAGCATTTACATCCACATCTTCATCCGGATATACTATCTATAACAATCTTATTTTTATTTGAATTTTTGTATAAAGGTATATGGCTTGTCACATGTCTGCCAAAAGAATCATTGGGTCTCATGGCCTGAATCTCAAATATTTAGGGTGCTGGAAAGCAATCACATCTTAGAAGATAGACACTCAGCATCACTCTGATGATGAACATTTTTTTTTTTTTTTTTTT